CATGATGGAACCTGAGAGGGTGAGTGGGTGTGTTTTACCTGAGACTCTGAGCACTGTTCCCCCAGCGTCCTCTGCACTGCTAATGCTTGATGCTCCTGGCTGTTAATGAAAGATTGGAGGTTCATGCCCACTCAGGGCTTCTAGATGGTAACTCCTGATCAGTCACCCACCCAAAACCCTGTGCTCACAGCTTTCCACAGCACATCATCCTGAGGTCACCTCCGGGCTGAGCGGACTGGAGGACACCAAGTCACCCTTCCAGCCGGCCTGCCCCACCCTGCACTAATTGTTCTCGGGCAGGAAGTGCCCCCTGGCAGGGGCTGCACCAAGACTGAGAGCCCCATCCCTCAGCCTGGACACCTCACCTTCTCCTTCTCTCCTCCTCCAGCTCTCCTGCTCTTCTCCCTCGATTCTCCTCTCCCACCTTCCCCCCAACATGCACACGCACACACACACAGACACAGACACACAGACACACGCACACACAGACACAGACAGACACACGCACACGCACACACAGACAGACACACACACAGACACACACACACAGACACAGACACACACACAGACACAGACACACACACAGACACACAGACACACACACAGACACACGCACACAGACACACGCACACGCGCACACACAGACAGACACACACACAGACACACGCACACGCACACACAGACACACACACACACGGTCATGGATGACAGGATAGCCAACCCCATGCCCTCCTGAGACTCCTGAGAGCTTGCTCCCTGTATCTGAAGTCTGTAAACCCTTTGCTAACATCTTACGTTTTGATGAGACATTGGAACTGAAAGGGCATTTTCTTAGTAGAAGAACAACACTTGGAAGGCACCACCTGCTTGTGGAAACCTCCCTGTCCACACATCTCATTAACCCCAATAGCCAGTCACGCGCTGTCAGATCGGCCCCGATGACTCTAGACACCCTGCTTGTATGCTCTCCTCCGGGGAGAGACTAGCTTTGCAAGAGCTTTGCAGAGGCCTGCATTTTAACTCAGAAACCATTTCCTTAGAGCTCCGGAGTGAGAATTTGCAGGCTCCACACATGATCCTGAGGAAGGTCTGGGGATCCAGGGACAGAGTGGGAGCGAGCTGTGAAGGTGTGAGTCTCTGAATCAGTTCCCCCCACCCTTTCACCACACACCCAGGTGTGTGCGTATGCACGCTGTGGGCAGGGGCCTCTCTGGTCAGTGCTGTTGACCGAACCATCTCCCTGCATGGAAGGGACCACGTGTCAGCACCGTCCCAATCAGGACTAGCAATGGTAACCATGCCCTCTACAGCTGCAGTCTGTCACACAGGCAGGTGACCGAGCGAGGCTACGTCTTGGCCCTGCCTCTGTGCTGGAGACCGTCCACGTGCCCACTGCCCCTGAGGAGGTTGGTGTGGGGATGGCCTCATGCCATGGTACCTACAGGAGGCTTAGCCGTCTGCAGTCACATTGGAAACCTGGGTGCCAGGCATCTCTGGGCTCCCGGGGCCTGGCACCCAGTCTTTGAAGCTGCCATCAAATCATTCTGACTCCTAGTGACCCTTGTGGTGGTGGTGTTTGCCGTCAAGTTGGGAGTGACCCATAGCTGACCCTCCAGTGGGTTTTCAGAGACAGTTAATTGAATGGAAGGAGATTGTCCATCCTACGCCCACAGAGCAGCTGACAGATTCAAACCATGTGCCTTTGAGATTGTGGGGCAGCTTCTTTCCACTAGGCCACCAGTGTGGCCCAAAGGCTAAGTGATCACCGACTGACTCGACCCCTACCTGGCTTTATACCTTAGCTTGTCACCACCTCTCCTTATATGCACATGGGCAACTCACTTCACCTCTCTAAGCCTCAGTTTCCTCACCTTTAAAACAAAGATTCTTGTACTTAGTGTTGGATGTAATGGAGCCAGTACTGATACCCACTGGGATCCAGAGGGTCCCCAGTGGTGCATCTGATTCTTAGCTGTTAGCCAACAGAAAGGTGGGAAGTTCAAGTCTACCAAGGTGCCTTGGAGGAAAGATCTGTTGATCTTCTTCCCAACACACCAGCCTTTGAGAACTCTATGAAACATGGTCTACTCAGACATGCATGGGCCACCATGAGTCAAGGACCCCAGGGCAACACCATTAGGGCCCTGACAAGTGTTCAGTGATGACAGGGTGGCCTGAGAGCTCAGGCTCTGTTGGAGAAGCTAGAGGACCTACACAAAGGTGACTTGGTTCATCTTCAGCACATGACCAAGAAGGATGCTTTCATCAGAGGGTCCCCAGCAGATGGAGACAGCGTGAATAAGAGAAAGCAGAGAGCTTCGTCCACCCTGCAGGCGGTCATGGACATCCCAGCCTTGGGATTTAAGTCCTGACTTGCCACTGCCCGCACGACCTGGCTGCAGCCCCAAGACATCTCACGCCTCCCTCTGCGAGGCACTGGGCCGTGAATGATGAGAGAGGCAGTCTCCTGGGTACCGCTCTGTCACTGTAGCTGCTGCGGTGAGTATCGCTTTCTGCACTGACAACTCGATGAAGGGTTTCAGTGACTTGCAAACAACTTGGTATCAATCATTCTGGAAGCTGCAGCTTTCTGTCTCTGAGTGGGCTGTGATATAAAAGGCCTCCCGCAGCCCTCTGAGGGGAGAGCCTGAATCTTTGTTCTCAGAGGGCCCTGGAGCCGCTGAGCAGGCGGGGAGCAGGGCCTCAGAGCTGTGTGGGGACAGAGGTAAGGGTGGGGAGTCAGTCTGGGTCTGGGTCTGGGTTTGGATCCTGGTCCAGTCGTTTACTGGGCTGTGAGGTATTGAACAAGGCTGGTGTCTGAGCCTCAGTTTCTTAATGAAACAGGAAGTTAGGCAGGTACAGCTTCAGGAAGAGAGTTAGACCTTTCAGGGCGTATGGAGATGAAGATAAAATTCTCAATTCCTTTAAGAGAAAGGCCTTGTTCTGATTTCCCTTTCTGGATTCCATAGGATCTGCCTGGTGGTGCCTGGCTGGACTGTGGTCAGTCCTGACTTATGGCAACCCCTTGTGCTGGAGCCAAACTGCTGCCTGGATTTTTTTCAACGGTGATCTTTAAGGAAGGAGATTGCCTGGCCTTTCTTTCATGGTACAGACTAGTGGGTTCTGAATTACCACCTTCAGGCAAGTGAGCAAGTGTTTACCAGGGGTCTTTATTGGTGGTTATTCTTGGTACTGGTACGTGGATTTCTGGAGCCCTGTCTCTGAACTGCAGGGAAGTTCAGGGAGGCCTCGGGTAGGGGATACACTGGGTGCAGACAGCATCCCAGCACCCACGCCCACACCCCTCACGTCCTCCTCCCTCTGAGCATCCTTCGAGGCAGCACCATCCCTACGTCTACTTTGCGTTCTAGAGACCTGAGGTTCAGAGAGGGAACTAACTGGGCCAGGTCATAAGGTCAGGAAGCAGCGGAGCTGAGATTTGAACCCAGAGCATGATCGATTCAAAGGTCTTGCTTTCCATTAGACTCAGGTTTGATTCCCAGTCAATACACTGCTCACAGTCGCTACCCGTCCGTGAGTGGAAGCCTGCAATTTGCTGTGATACCGAACAATGCTCAGATGAGTGTCCAAAAAAAGGGGAACAAGGGAGAGGCCTGGGGAGCTACTTCTGAAAACCAGCTAAGGAAACCCTGTGGACCACCAACAGCTGGTAGGTTCAAACCACCAACCTGCCAGATGGCAGTCCAATGTTTAACCTACCGCACCAGCAGGCCTCTTGAAAGCTCTCACATCCCCCTCCTCAGGGCTACTCCTGGCTGCCAACTTCCCAGTGAAGTCACTTTAGACACCACGATGTGTGATTTCTCCTTCCTCTCCAGTCCTCAATACCAGTACAGTAAGATTTTCTTATTTTTCTATGGGAAGCCAAATTTCATACTAAATATTTGTAATAAATGGAATGCTATTTCAGGGTGGAATTCACCCTGAGGCACTAAGGCAATCCTTAGGGTTTACCAGATTCTTGCATTTGCTGACCCCCTCCCTCCTGAGTCAAGGGGAAGGTTTTTAACAGAAAGAGCTTGGATTCATTTACAAGAGAGTTCTTTTTACTATTTGTTTCCACTGATTCTCAGTAAATACACAAAAAGGCATGACTTGAGGTGGCTTGGCTTTGGTCCTTGAGACTGCTGGCCTCCTGTCTTTGACACTCTCTGCTTATCTCCTTTCCGGTTGTCTGTCTCATTATTAATAATTATCAACATATTTACCCTCGGTCTGCAACATTTTTTCTTCTCTTTTTAGATAATTTTTTTTTTTTTGGAAATTGTATTGCCAGAACTGGCTGGCTTTGAAGAGTCACATCACTGAGGTTCGGAAAACCACAGTCACTTCGGCTGGCCCGGGGAGCCAGGGGATTTGGGGCTAATGCTGGTGGCCCCAGAATCTTGGCTTGCCACTAGTACAAAGCTACCCTGCTACTGGACAGGTGACAGGTGCCCTGCTGAGGACCAGAGTGGCCAGTCCGGGAGTTTGCACATGGTCATCTGTCGGTGCCCACACACAGCCTGGATTCTCTCCCTCCTCCTTGTTCTTTCGGGTTTTATGGGGGATTTGGAAAGGGCACAGGGTCAGAGCCCTATGATTCGGAATTCGAGCATGAGAGGGCCTTGTACAGCCTTCATGGTAAGGGGTTGTGCTGCCAACCCAAAAGCATGTGGTTCAAATCTACCAGCTGCTCCACAGGAGAAAGATGGGAAGTCTCCTCCTGTGTGATTTACCACCTCTGAAAACCCACTAGAGGGTCTGCTATGAGTCGGTTCTCACTCCATGGTACACAACAGCAACAACAACAAATCCAATCTGAAATAACTGAGAAGGGAAATGGTTAGGGCGGCTGGCCGTCACCTCTACATCCTGTCAGTGAGTCTGCTGGCCATCACTACTGTGCTCTGCAGTGCCCTGCATGCCCCCTTCCCACTCTGCACTGCCCACCAGCGCCCAGGATGCACACATACCCTGCCAGGCAGGAGGGAGCTCACCTGGTGATGACATAGGGCGCGAAGCACACGAGAAAGGTCCCAATGAAGGTGCTGATCTTGCGGGTGGCCCGCTGCCTTCGGCGCTTCTGCTCCTCCAGACAGCGCTCCCGCACACTGAGAGGGACAGAGGGACAGACACTGACTCACAGACACACTGGGTTAGGACAGACCGTGTCCTTGGTCATCAGGCCTGGCCACCAGTGTGGTGGGAACTCCACGCAGAGCCAGGCATCTCTAAGTCATCACGTGTGAAATGTGGAAAAGAATAGTAATAACACACCAGCTGGTGAGTGCTGTTTGGAGGATTAAGTGCACGCACGTGTGTAATGCATTCAATGCATCGGGCACTCAGTCCAGCCCAGCACTGCACAAATGAAGCAAATGCAAGTATTACCCCAAACGAAGCCCTCTGCTGTCCAGTCACTCCTGACTCTCGGGACCCTACAGGACAGCGCAGGACTGTCTTGTGGGGTTCAGAGGCTGTGACTCTTCACGGAAGCAGACTCTTCCTCTCTCTTCCATGCAGCTGCTGGGAAATTCCAACCACTTTGGGGTGGCCTCCCCAAACTTAATCAACTCTGCCACCAGGGCTCCCAAATAAACATTAGCTTTTCATTATTACGGGTTCCATCTACTTATTGCCTGCTGCGTGTCGGCCCGGAGCCTCACACTCTCCGTGTATTAGCTTTAGCACACTTGGCCCAGGGTGCTGCTTAAGAGCCGAATACTTGGGGCATGTTCTTAGGAGCAGCCAGTCCAGGGAGCTCTGGTGGCCTTACTGGCAAGAGGCTGCACTGCAATTGCAGAGGTATGCAGTTCGAATCCGCCAGATCCTCTGCTGGAGAAGGAGGGACAATCTCCTTCTGTACCAGTCAGATCCGAGTTGACGGTACACACACAAAAAATAATAAAATAAAAAAAAATGCAGGAGTCGCCAGTCCTTGGAGATGGACGTCATGCTTGCAAAGGTGGAGGGTCAGAGAAAGAGAGGAAACCCCTCAATGAGGTGGATTGATCCAGTGAGTGTCACAACGGGTTCCAGTGTGTTGTAGGGGGTGTGAGGATGGTGCAGGACAGGACAGGGTGCTGACCTGTTGTTTATAGGGTTGCTGTCACAGTCGATCACATGGTATATAACAACAAGGGCAGCCTGCAGCGTGTCAAGGCTTGTCAACGGTTCAGGCTGCACAAACCCCCACTGTCATCGGTACCACAGTGGCCGAGCACCAGGCGCCAGAACCACGCCGCCAGGTTTAAGTCCAGGCACCACCACTTGAGCGCTGTGTGGTCCTAGGCAACTTAAACAACATCTCTGTGCACAAGCTTCCTCGTCTCAAAAATGGGAGTCAGTGTTTCCAGCCAAGTGGGGCTGTTTTAAGATGAACACAGCATCCTAGACAGTGCCTGACACAGCGAGCACTCAGCACTCCACTTTTCCTGTTATACATTCAGTGCACACTTGTTGGGCAATGACTGCACCTCACTGCACCCCGGCACAATCATGAATCTCCAAGACAGGAGCCCTCCCACTGCTGGCCTTCTCTTCCTACCCCGGATGTTGATGAGTGAGACCCCTCCAGTCAGGGGCTCCCACCAATGGGAGCCTGACCTTGTGCCTCAGCTGGCTCTGTGTCCCCATAGGTCCCAGGGGCCCATGGAACGTGTCTCCTGGTCCATGACAGCACGTGCCACGATACAGGGCAGAGGTTAGGGTACGTAGGGGCCATGCCCCTGCCCCAGGGTAGACTGTTGTTATTATTGGGTGCCATTGTGTCGAGTACAACTCATAGCAACCCTATGAACAATAGATCTGAACCCTGTCCCAGCGTGTGCATCTTCTCTGACATACTTGGAGCTCTTTAAAGTGGTCACTGCGACAATCCACCTGGTTCTGTGGCCATCCACCTGATTCAGGCCTTCTCTTCCACCATCCCTCCACCTTTCCAAGCAGGAGGTTCCTCTCCAAGGAAAAGCCTCTCCTAGCAATAGGCTCAAAGAATGTGTGAGACAGAGCTTCATCAGCACTGCCTCCGAGGAGCACGCTGGCTGCACCTTCTCTAATACAGATCTGCTTGTTCTTTTTGAAGTCCACGGGATATTTAGCCGTCTTCTCCAATACACAACTCAAAGGCATCCATTCTTCTTCTGTCATCTTCATTCATCGTCCAGCTCTCACACCAAGTGACTGAAGAGACCATGATCTGAATCAAGCACACCTTAGTCTTCAGACTGACAGCATTCCTCCTCAATAATCTGGAGAGGTCCCTCACTACAGCCTTTCCCAGGGCAACGCATTTCCTGATCTCCTGACTGCTGGAGCCAAGTGTGATTGTGGATCTAGGTAAAATGAAGTTGTTCACAATAAACTGTTAGACACACGTTATTTACAGAATGAGTAGTCTTCTCAGCCACACGGAAAGCTCACAGATGGGGAAACTGAGACTTAGAGAAGAGAAGGACTTGCTACCCCAGGAAATGGAGTGCAGGCAAGGCTGGATCCAGGCGTCTAACTCCTGGTCCAGTGTGCTGAGTCAGGAACCACACTGCTCTCTCCCTCAAGACTTGGACTCACCTGGTGTCCAGGTGGCAGACAGAGCCAGCCACATGGATGGGGAGCCAGTTCAGATATCCCCACACCCCACGGATGGGCTCAGCTCCAGCATGCGGGAGACATCTAAATCTGAGCCCAGCCTTGCAGGTTATGAAGATTTGGCTATGTGTCAAGGTGGGAGGAGAGAACATATTTTACTTAGCACTTTGTAAGCCTAATTTAGAATGCTGAAATATTTATGTATGTGGTCTGTGGGCCTCCGTTCACACTGCCACCCTCAACTGCCAATCTGGGGGCCAGACTTGGCTATGAGTCTTGGCTTGAGCCACTTTCTAGAGCTGTTGAATTAGGCAATTCTCCTTCATAGAGCCCTGATCTTGCCTGATCAAAGGTGCAGCAGGGGTCTCTTGATGGGCTCCCAAGTCTGCCCCAAGGAGTCCTGACAGCCTCCCAGGTCAGCCCTCAGGTGTATGTCTTCATGGACCGTGCTGACTTGGGAGGGTCGTCAGAGGGAGGGTCAGTTAGGGTGTTGCTGTGACAGCACCGAGTGCGTGCCGGAGCCTCTACTTGTCCTGTGCCATTCTCCAGGCCACAGAGGGGCAGCCCTCGCTGGACGCCCTCTGACTTATCCTCCTGGCGCACTGAGGAAGGCCTGGCTGCCCCTGTCGCCCTTCCAGGCACTGTGACCCAGGAGGTCCTGGCACAGTGGATGCAGTGCTGTAAGGACCTCTGGCTGTGCTGTCCCAGTGGGGAGTCATGACAAGCAATTCTTAGCTGCTTTCTAAATCCAGTGGCTCACGAAGCCGCCGTGGACAAACAGGAGGAGCAAAGTCTCTGACTGATCCCTCTGTAATCAGATCAACGAGGATGAGTGACCCTGGGTCTTCTGATGATGGCTAAAGAGAAGGGATCCCCCTGCTCCTCACCTGGGGTCAGCAGACACAGTGACCACAAGCCTCCCACCCCACTGCGGGGCCGCAGAGAACGCAAGACAAGCCTCTTTGAATGACATCCCGGAAGGCTGCTGGTCTGATGGCTGGTAAAGAGAGCTAAGAGGTCAGACTGCAGCACACTGTCCTGTCTGTGCAGAAAAAGGTGCTGGACTCTGCCCGGGCACTGACCACCCCAAAATCCATAGCCTGATAGCATCTGAGGCCAGCAGTGCCCCGGGGTCCTGACACCTGTGGTACGGGAGATGAGGCAGGTCCTGAGAGCAGCTCTGAGGCCTCTGCACTACGGGGAGGACGTGTTTGGAGCTCCTGGTAAGACAATGCCTGAGGCTGGCTGCCACGGCCTGGCCCCTCCTGCGTGCCTAATGCCTACCTCTCCAGCATGAGGACTAGCTTCACAGGCAAGGGGCAGTGCCATCATGTTCCCTATGTCTCAGGAACCATGGAGAGCCCTGGCCATGAACCTGTCTGAGCTCAGGAAGCCACACCCCTCTCTAACATACAAATGTAGGTGGCCCAGGTCCTGCAGGGGCCTAGGCACTGGGACCAGGGCTCCTCAGCAGACTGGGAAGAACTAGGATTCCCTTCTGAGGAGATGAGCAGGGCAGCTACCGCTGCTCCTGAGCCTCCAGTTGGCCTGGAGAGAGATTTTCAGGAAAGGAGGACTGTACCCTCAGAAGCTGGAGGGGCTGCTCTCTTATTCTCGGAGTGGATGAGGGAGAGGTGGGCCGGCCAATCTGCATAAGGAGATTCCTGGTCCATCTCAGCCTTTGCTCTGCAGCCAGTCTGAGTGCAAGAGGACCTTCCCCAGGGGTCCCGCAAGACCCAGGGCCAGAATTCCTGCCCCCATCCTTCAGAGACAGTCCCATCCACGTCCCCATGCTTCAGCTGCTGAAGGGACCCAGAGGGACAGCAACTCTGCAGTCCTGGCCACAGACTGTTTCTTTAAAGGAAACTGTAGGGACACTCGTATGACAGTCAACCAGGTCTTGGTGTCAGTGTGTCATCATGCATCTGCCAAACGTGACAACTACATGTGAACAGACGGGATGCATGTGGGACAGCTGGCAGCGCAGGTCTGCAGCCCCGGCCCTCAGGCGTCCACAGCCCCTCACATGTGAGCTTCTGATCCAATTGTGTGGGGAAGCATCCATGGCCCACCCTTAGAATCACTGGTACCACATCTGCAGACATGATGAAGCTCAAACTCCTCTCTCCATTGCTCACAGACACCACACCTCACCTCTGAAGGGGCTGGGTGCTCTCAGCAGGTCTCACCTCCCTGCTGGTCAGAATCGGAGCCCCCTGACTGGGGGAACTGGAGGAGAGCCTGTCTTTTCCTCCTTGGATGGAACAACGTAAGTCCACTGCCAGCCAGATCCCTCTCCACATGCCTGTTCTCACCAGGAAAATGAGGTGAGTTCAGGACACCGACTGAGCTCCCTCTTTGGGCACTGGTTCCAGGGTGCCAGCACTGGGCTGCCCACCTTGACTGGCCTCCTAAGAAACAGAGACCCAGGTATAGGGACAGCAAAGCTAAGTCCCAGGAGTATCAGGAGGCCACTCTGCAGAGATCTCCAGACGTCTTGTCTGGGAGACACTGGACTGGACGGTGGTCCTGGGACCAGCAGGAGATCTTTCCCTGCCGTGCACCAGGCACTCCCATGAGGACCACAGGAGGGGAACAGCCCCCAGCCATGCGGGGGACGTATACACCTCACGCACACACATACACACACGCACAAACACGTATGTACACACAGAGAGTCTAGGCAGAAGCAGCCAACCACAGAGCAGAACCTGGGGAAGCAACCGGTTCAAAGAGTTCCCCAGACAGCTTCTGGAGTTTCTGAGCCTTGGACATACAGTAGACATAAGGAAGCCCCGTAAAGCTCTGGCCCTGATTCCAGCCTCTGAAAACCCAAGTGCCACTGTCTCGCGTCTTATGCTTCTAGTTTGCGCTCTGGGTGCTGCTTAAAGGTCCAGCAGCACTGTTCCTTCTGCCCACCCACCCGTCCAAAGAGGCAGACACTGAGACAGTGTTAAGAGGCGTGCCTCCGACCCTGCACCCCCGCCTCTCCCAGACCCCCTCTGGCGCCCCTCACCTGGGGTGGATGTCCACCAGCAGGACCAGCGTCTGCATGGTGATCACGTCGATGCGCTTGCAGTGGAAGCGGGCCACCTTGAGCACCTTGAGGTATGTGCAGCAGAGCACGGTGAAGGAGAGCAGGAAGCTGAGCGCGTGGAAGGCGCCGGTGAAGACAGCGAAGCGCAGGCGCTCATCCGGCCGCCGGCTGCAGAGCGTGCAGGACGCGTAGAGCTGGTGGAAACCCAGCCAGGACAGCGCGAGCGCCGCGGCCGGGAAGACCAGCGCGTGCAGCCACATGTAGGCCACCATGAGCGCGGCGTCCCGGAGGCGCATCTTGGCCCGGTAGCTGAGCGGGAAGACCACGGCCACCCAGCGGTCGATGCTGAGCGCGGCCATGCTGAGCATGGAGTTGGCGGCCAGGAAGGTGTCTAGGAAGGCGGCCAGGCGGCACAGGCGGTCACCGGCCGGCTGCCGCTGCGCCACCACGCCGGCCAGCGTGAGCGGCATGTTGACCACGGTGCACAGGAGGTTGCTGCACGTGAGGTTGAGGGTGAAGAGCGCGGGCGCCTGGCGGCGGATGTCTGCGCTGTGCAGCAGGCACAGCAGCACCAGGGCGTTGGACAGCAGCGACACAGCCATTGTGCCCACCAGCAGCGCCACCAAGCCCGCGTCCCACGAGTTCATGGTGCGCGCCCGCGTGGCGCCCCCGCGGGCGCTCAGGGCCCGCCACCTGGTGCCACCCGGGCGCCGCCCGCCGCCAGCTCAGCCTCGGGGCACCGCCACCCTGCTGCGCTCCTGGTCCCCGCTGCCATGGCTGGGGCGGGGGCGGGGCTCCCTGTCACCCCCAGAACCCGCACCAGCTCTCAAGGCTCCCGGGCGCGCAGCCACCGGGTGTCCCGGTGCCTCATCCGGAGAAGGCGCCTGGGCGCACAGCCACTCAGGAACCCGGCACCTGCAACTGGGTAAGCCCTGGCAGGTCGGGCACACAGCGCTCGCTCGGAGCGCCCTCCAGTCTTTGATGCAGCTTCGTGGTAGCTCCCAGGCTCTCGCCCCAGCCCTCGGAGCTCTGTCTGCGTGGATCTGCACCCTCCGCTGTCCTGCTTTGTGCTTCCTCCCTCTCCTCTTCTCTCTCTGCTAGCACTGGCTCGCCCTCCCTCCCTCCCTCGCCGCTGGCCCCTCCACCTCTCCCTCTCTCTCTCCTGAACACACACTCCCCTCTCCCTGCGCTTTCCTTTCCTTTCTCTCTCCTACTGCTGAGCTCTGCTTTCTCCTTCTGTCTCTCCCACCCCCAAGCTTCTCCTCCCCTCTCTCTTCCCCCTCCTCTTTTCTCTCTCTGGAATCTGGTTGCTTTTATCACAGAGATCCCCACTGATAGGCACGCACAGCGCCCAGAGCACATCACACACACATGGACACACACACACACACACACACACACACACACACACACACACACACTCTCTCAGAAGAAACCAGCCCTGAAGGCTTTGATCCACAACTATTGCCACCCCCCTCCTCCAAGTGTCAAATACAGACTGAGTCAAGAGACTCTCCCAGGACACCTGGACACCTCCAGCCGCAGAGCCATTTGAGTGTCAGCCTGGTCAGATCTTGGCCCAGAGCTGATGCCCCTCCCCATGTGTTAGCTGGGAGAACCTGGGTGGTGGGCTCTTTTAGCCCCAAGAGGAAGAAATGCACGTGACTCTGTCCTGTGGGATCAGAGTCTCCTCCAGGCATCCCCTTTGTGTTTCTAGTGCTGCTGCAGGTGGGTGCTGCACCATTCGGTTCTGAGCATCTCAGGCCTGTAGAAAGACGCTGAGTTCTTGTGAGCCCCCCCTCTCTGCAGAGAGCAGAGAGTGGTCTGCTCTCTGGCCCCACCTCTCCTGGATGGGCATCCCTGCTGCCCACAGCCAGCCCTGCAGTGACCATGGCTGGTCCACAGCGTTTTCATCCTGGAGTCCCTAAATCTGTCACCAAGTTTCCTGGGGTTGGGGCTAGAAAGTTCTGGTTTACCAGGAACTTGAATGTCATAGGTCTGGGAATGGAAAGGACAGTGACTGGTGTGCCTTGACCTTGATTCCAGGCACTATGTGCTTAGGAATGGATTCCATACCCTCCCTTGGGTGGGCTTCAGCCTTTCTCTCCTTGGATGAAGACCCTCTCCTCTGTTCTTGGATTAAGACCTTCCTATATTTTATTTTTTTATGAAGACTTTCTGATCTTTCATGCAGATTCTCTTTCCTTTGATATAGACCTTATGACCTTGAATTAGACCTGATTTTTTTTTGCCATGCCATGAGGTGGGTTTTATTTTCATTAATCATACAAATCATTTTCTAGAATAGCCCAGGGCAAACCGGAGACTTCGGTGGTCCCTTCAGAGACCCGCAGGCCGGTGGCAGGGGGCAGTGTGCCCGGGTTCACAGTGCAGCTCCTCGCTCGTGCTCATCCTGCAGGCATCTCTTCCTCCACATCACGACGCGGGTGGAGACCACTGCAGGATCCTAGGACATCTCACTCCGCTTCTCCTGCTCGATGGTCTCTTTGGTCGGCAGGGTCTTCTTCTCCTGCGTCTCAGTCTTCTTCAGCTTGGCCTTATCGAAGCTGGCGATTCCCCCCATGGCAGGCTTGTCTGCCGTTTTCGTGAAACAATCTGGGAGACCTGATTTTTTTATGAAAACCTCCTGGTCTTTGATCTACATCCTCTGGCCCTGGATGAAGACTGTCTGTTCTTGGAGTAAGATCCTCTGGTCTTTGATGAAGACTCCTGTCTTTGGATGAAGACTTCTGCTCTTTGAGGACGATCTTCTCTGCCCTTTGATCAACAAGGTTTCTGGTGTGCTGATGGCTTTTGGCATTCAGGGGCACCGCAGTCCAGCTAGCTCCATGAGCGTCTCTGGTTTCCATGTCGGCCGTGTTAGCAGCCTGGGACCTGGGTACCAAGCACCAACAATGCCTTCCCAGAGGCTCTGGTGTTGACCAGATGACGTTGACCAACACAAGAATATTTCCTCCAAGGAATCTCTTGATTCTAATCCTTGACAGGAACTCTACTTTTTTTTGGCCTTTTTTTCTATTAACCTAAAAGTACTCTAGAGTATAAAAAATCTATTCATTTAAAAATATTGTATTAGTGACCAGGTCATTCCATCCAGCAGCAATAAATGAGTGAATATCACACACACACACACACATCATTCTGAAGATCCTTGGGTCTGCCAGAGAGCCGGGACGTAGAGGATCAGTGAAAAAGAAAAAGAGCTTCAACAAGACGGACAGATGCTCTGGCAATAACAGGGGCTCAGGGCCGTGCAGCAACTTGAGGACAGCACAGAGCACAAGTGCTTTGTTCTGCTGTACATGGTCACTACGGGTCCGGGCCCACTCGGTGTATTTCACATTCAGAGTATTTCATCTCTCTTGACTAAAGAGCAGAACTTGCCTTCTTCTGGCTTAGGACACTTTCTCTGCTCCCCGTGGAGCCGTGGGGGCACTGGCTGCCAGACTGGCCAAGGCCCAGCCCCCTTGGCCTCAGGGTTCCCCAGCAAAGCTTCAGCAGCCTGGGCTCAGCACCAGTTCTGACAGGGCTCCCAACACCCACGGTGAGGTCGTAGCCACCAAGGAAGGGAAAAACATGTCTGTGCAAACCTGAACATAGAGTCCCCACTGCCCTCCCACCTCATTCCGGGGAGACAAGGGGCTGGGGCCTGGGCTGGACCCACCAGGGAACAACACCACCACAGCCCAATTTGCATGTCATGCTCCTTGGAGCTGGCAGTGACGGAATATTCGTGACAGCGTTCACATGAGTCTCTAAATGCTGCACTGGGCCCTGAGGGAGGCCTTGAAATCAGGGCTGAGTGGTACCCGTGTGGATGGTTTGAAATAGTTTCCACTGAGGCCCACATCACTGTACTCTTTGTAGAGCCTCCAGCGTGGACACCACCTTCCTACCCACCTAAGTGGAGACACTGAGATACAGACAGGTCAGGCATGTGCTCAAAGCCACTCTAGGTATATATTGACAGATAGTATTTAAAATTTTAAAAACAAAACAAAGATGTGCTGCAATCTGGTCGATTCTGGCTCACGGTAGACTCCTCCATTGGCTTTCCAAGGCATTAGAGAGCATTGCAGTCCACTGCGAGCCCTCAGGGGCCCCGTTGACTAGGAAGACCCACACTCTCTCCAGCACACTTGCATACACAGGTGTGCTGAACACACTCATTCCAGTGAGAGCTGGAAGACTAAAACGGCCCTTTCTACGGTTGTTGCTCTGGTGGCTTAGTGGTAAGGAACTGCACTGCCAAACCAAAGGCACGTGGTTTGAATCCACCCGCTGCTCTGTGGGAGAAAGATGGGCAATTTCCTCCTGTGTGACTGATTGCCTCTGAAAACTCACTGGAGGTTCAGTTATGAGTTAGTGATTGTTGCTAGAAAGAGATGAAATGTTTGCATAAATGGAAACTAGGCAGCCGTCATTGCCATAAGAGAGTCTTCTAAGGTGCCCTGGTCGGGGAAACAATCTCTCTGGGGAGCCAGTGCTTTGTGCCTTTCTGCAGGTGTAAGACAATTGTGCAAAGGCTTCTCTGCAGGGAACCACAGAACAACTGCCCAGAGGCTAGGGCCCGGGGCATCGTTTTCGTCTTGGGGCAGATGGTGGCTTTCAGGAAGAAAAGGGGCAGACCCTTGATTGCACCCAATGCCAAGGATGGGCAGCGAAGGTCAGGATCTGTCTATGTCAATATTCTGGCTTCTATCTAGACAATTATCTGCTCGCTCTCTCTCTCTTTCTTTTTTTACCTGCTCTCTTTCTGACAACAGCACTGGGAAAGTCCAGCTCTGTCTCCAGTTCTTGTAGAGAGGGAGGATACTGTGCATGACCGCGTATATGCAGTGTGACTCACAGTGGCACAGTGTTCACTTCCAAGGCCTGGGCGACCACTCATCCTAGGGGTCACCTTGCCACCTCTCCATCTGGCACCACAGGCAGGCTTCTGTTTTCAAATACCACACACCTACAGAACCCTGGGATTAGAGTGACACACAATACTTTCATTGTGCCGACAGAGAAAAGGCACTAGAGGGAACCACACCTGCCTGGGGCATGTAGACCAGTTGCAGGCAAGAGCTTTGAGCCCACTCCTTGGCTCTGAGGTCTCTCCACTACCTGCTGTTGTCCATCCTCCAGGCTAGTGCCCTCTCAGTCCTCACCCTCATGCTTGGCAAACCAAACCAAGTGAACAGACAGCCTTCCACCAGAAGTAATGAATGGTCTCTGGCGCACTTGCCTGCTATCAGGAGTGAGGAGAATTGGCTCACTAGGAAAGGCCTTTGCCTCTTCTGAGTCTGCAGAGCTGTCCCAGGTGCTATGGACCTTGTTGGGCCAGCTGAGGGCAGAGAAAGCCTGCCAGATGCCTGGGAGGACTGTGGTCACCTGAGAGAATCTGAGACACCATTGTCTGACAGGACCCAAAATTCTAGGAAGCCTTTACTGAGTGCTTGTTTTGATTAAAAACCCTCCTACTTTGTTCCCCCAGAAATCCTCACGACAGCTCTCTACGAGAGACAACAGCAGTTACTCTCATTGTAAAGATGGAGACACTGAGGTTCCAAGAGGTTAAACAACATGTTGAAGGTGTCCCTGGAGATAAGAGGGCGACGGACACTTCAATGAAGCAACT